TTAAAGCGGCCGCCATTTGGCTATCGTTAATGAGATCATGAAACAAATGCACATACATATTTGTGACATGATGTACCTTGTGTGTGTGAAGTTTGAACTCGATCAATCCAGGCAAGTCTCAGATACGGATCCAGAACTGAATTCTTTAAAACAAAATGGTCACCAGTCGGCCATTTCAAACCCGATCCAAAAAAAAAAATGACGTGCATCAAGATCCTATTATGTTTAATGTATGTACCAAATTTGAACAAAATCCGTCCATGCATAACTGAGATCCGGGTCTGGAATGGTGAAAAAATGCGATTTTGATGCATTTTCGGCCTTAAAGTGGCCGCTATTCGGCTATCGTTAATCGGATCATGAAAAAAATGCATGTGCATATGTCCCATATAATGTGTGATGTATGAGTGAAGTTTGAACTTAATCGGTCCATGCATGTTCGAGATACAGGTGATCACGGACGCACGGACGCACACAGGGCAAAACATAAAGTCCTCGTTAACTAATTACTTATTAAAATAGACAAAAAGAAAGTTCATCACAACAGTTTTTTTTTTAATTTCTGATTTATTTTCACATCTATACAATGTATCTATAAAATAATTTTTTAGAAAGGTTTTGTGACACCGATCAAGAGACCAAAAGCAACCTGAATTGTCAACACCTTATCCTAGACAGCAGTAATTGACACACAAATACGTGCATAATCTTCAAAACAAATTCGTAAGAAAAGAAAAGAAAAGAAAAGAAAAGAAAAGAAAAGAAAGAAAAGAAAAGAAAAGAAAAGAAAAGAAAAAAAAAATGAATAATTTATAATTGTTGAAAAAAATAAACACAAAACGTGACAATTGGCTGTGCATTATTCCCTAATATTTTCTTTTTTGTTCACCTGGGACACTACTTGTGGCGTGAAAGCTGTATTGCTTCTCGGTTTTGAAGTATTGCATGTAAGTATTTTCTACAAGGGACCTGATGGTTGAAATAACTCCGCCAACCTAATTACATCAAAAAAATGGTTCAAACAAATTATCTACACCTCAAATATCAATTTGAAAGCAAAAAGATTTACCAACAGATAAGTGATGATAAAAGGTCAATCTATATCTTACATAAGTACACGGTATTTTAAAATTCACAACACTCTATAGATGAACCTTGATATTAAACAGAAATAGACTACCGGTACACGATATATTTCACTTCATTTTACGACTGGCAATTAAATCATATCACGTCTGAAGACGAGAACTAGATACTTGCGTCAGAATAATAACAAAGAGACTCTTTAGCGTCACCTTTGTATTTAGGTGATGCGCTGATTTTGGAATACAGGAAGCTTTATAATCTGTTGCTATGGCAACATGACAATAAAACAAACAAAAATACATGTACAGGTACAAAATTTGAATTATATACACAAGGTAGAGAATTTATATAAAGAAAAAACCTGTCAACCAACAAGATGCTCTCTGATTGGTCTGACTGTTATGGTTGGGTAGCCAATCAGGAACAATCTTCGCTTTGCATTTCCTCGACTATATCACAGAAATTTCTGGCCTAACATATTCAGTTAGAAATATAATACTTTACAATAATAATTTATCATAATTAATTAATAATAATTTATCATAATTCTAGCATATACAGATAAACAGATAAACAGCGCCCCCTAGGTATGTCTAGCACCCTCTTGTGTTCAATATTAAAAAAATTAACTTTTTGTTAATGCAACATAGTGATTTTGATGCTTTGGCTTGAACACTTATTGTAGATTTACAAATTTCATTTTGAAAAGCTGATAGCAGACTATTTTCATTTCTGAAGGCTGATTAAATAGACCCCTCTCCCAGATTCTTTGGCTTGTAGTGAATACTGTGAAATACTTTATTTTAGCTGGAATTAATTTTCGCTGAAAAGACTTTTTGGGTGTTTTGTGTGCATTTTATTTTCACTGATTTTTGCCGAGTTGAATGTAAAACATAGGAAAAAAGTATATTCCCTGGATTTTATTTTCACTGAATCATTCCTTCAGCGAAAATTAATTCCAAGCGAAAATAAAGTATTCTACAGTACACAGACTATACCTCATCCCTGTCATAAATGTATTAGTATAATTGACGACACGTGCATGTGAGTGGAACAAATTATACATCTCATCTTGACTAAAATGCCATCTTATTAAGGTAGCCAGGGACGTGTTCACAAATTGTAATCAAATCAGTTACTCTATATGGTTGGCATGGCAACCTTTAAAAGCCATCTATCAATTGATATGCAATCCAAAATGTTTAAAGCATGCATTAAATATGCTATAAATTGTTATAAAATTTTGGCAATTTCTGAATTTTATGGAATTCGTGAAGAAACAAATTTCATAAAGTATTGCTAAATTTTCTAATTTTCACTGAAATTTGCAAACTTGTCTTTTACAATCCAAAATGTTTAAAGCATGCATTAAATATGCTATAAATTGTAATAAAATTTTGGCAATTTCTGAATTTTATGGAATTCGTGAAGTAAAAAATTTCATAAAGTACTGCTAAATTTTCTAATTTTCACTGAAATTTGCAATACTTGTCTCTTACAATATTAAAATGATTTACAGAAATAAAATTAATAGTTTGGGCGAGAAAGTCTGTTGGTGGAAAGGTAAATGATTTTCAAAGATAGAAAATGATTTTTCTCAAAAATCCAAATTATCATATGTCTATCAGGCACGGGAAATCGTATGGCTCTTCCCTGCAGACAAATTCAAATATTACACTACTGAACATACATGCAATGCGTTATGGGAAATCAATTTCATTGAATGTATGGAATAATTAACTAAATTAATCTCAACTTTCTGAAAATTCCAGCAGTAACCTGCTTTGAATTATATGTAGAACACCTCCGACTGATTATTCAGAAAATACTAAAATCTGTAGGTTTTGAAATTTTGAAAATCTTAAAGCCAGCCTAATCATGCACTTGACAGAAAAAAGGTCATGGTGTTTTTATAATATCACCAAATCAAACTTATTATCATTATTGTAATTATTAAAGCCATTTGCAAGTGATTTATTTTAGGAGGGATTTCTAAATTCTATTTCATGATTCTGTTGGGTAAGATTCTCATGAACTGTATAAAATCCAAAGCCCTTACGGTGCATGCTGGGGTCAGGGGTCAGGGAGAAATTTCTGTAGATCATACAAAGTGACAATGCAACTTTAACAATATATAATTTTAAAATTTAGTCCCATGCTATCATACAAAATTTGAAAAATATTCCCAATAAACACAATGAATATGCTCAAAACTTAAATAGTGAAATTAATCATCAGTGCAAAAAAAAAAATTTTTACATTATGCCTAGCCTTTCACCACCAGTTCTCTCTTTTCATCACAAATTCACAAAATAGTCCTGTTTATATTCTGCACTTTCCTTCAGAAAACTGGGGGCAAAAATTGACTCAAATTTTGTCTATTGGCTCTAAAATAAGAAAAAGAAAGGTTGCTTATAAAAAGGCTAGCATAGAGATAAAATTCAATTTTTTCCCAGACGTTTGTTTCTTGAAAAATTCTCCAATGACCCCAATTTTAGGTCAAACTTTGTATAATGACATGAACACATAATAAAGTATGAATAAAATGACATATAATCTTCCATTCCGTCTAAACTTCCTTACAGACATCATTATTAATGAACTCTCTTAAGGTCACACACATATAAACCTTTAAGATGTTTAAAAGACATACACATCACATAGGTATTAAAAAGGATTTGATTAGGTTGTTAGTTTTACTACCTAGGGCGAGTGAATCTTCGCATTAGTCTGACTCAGACTTTAAATAAGCGACAAGGATCATCCGAGCTTCAAAAACAATCATAAATTTCCAGTGCTGACAATCAGACTTCTTTGTGAAACATGTAGTTTGGAAGTTTAAAACTGATTAAAAATGACAAGCACATTCCATACTCTATTTCTCCCTTTTTAATTTTCATCATTAGAAATGTTCGTGATCTCACAATTTCAATGGCAGAGCACATCATACAGCACGCATTAAATGTTTGCGTATAAAAAAAAGAAGTATTTTTACACATGTTGTATTCGTTGCGTGGGACCCATATGGAACAAAAAGTATCATGGCGAATGTGAAACTTTCAGAACATTCATGAGGCCAGCATTTCCTTTATAAGAAACACTCACTAGTTGTAAAAAATAAGAACCACCGTAAATTTCCACAGACTAACATTTGATTTCTGTAAAAATTACAGTATGCTATACGGGTTGTCATTTAAATTTGCACAGTTGATATAATATTAATTTTTTCAAACCAGGAAAAATAAAACACAAAGATTCATCTTTTTAAAGGGCAGTGGTCATCGCGTAGTGCATGTCTGAATTTCATGTAAACAAACAATGTATTTTACGCACGTTGTGTACATTGCTAC